CCTTATATAGAGAAAAGTGAGGGAATTTAGCTCCAGAGTACATGCAGGTGAAGGAATTTAGCTGGCCTGAATATCCAATGAGGGAATTTAGCTAGTCTAGTACATGCAGATGAGGTAATTTAGCTAGTGATAGCACAGCCTTGAGAGATTTTGACTGGCCTACAAGGTCCTGCTACAAAGGAATGCATGTGCACCAACAAAGGAATTCAATATGTAATATGAGCTAGTAAAGGAATTCAATATGAAACAAAGGAACTCAATATCCAATATGCATCCAGTATTCAAATTGAGCTATAGTCAGAGTAAAGAATCCAAGAGATATCCTGTGATAGGTTGAAATAGGTGTAACTTCTGAACTAATAGAGATAAGGGGGTAGTTGTAGTGGGTGACTAGGGGTTATTTTACCTCAGGAATCCATTTTTGATGCTGATTTTACCTTATATCTCATGTAGAAAAAGATGAAAATAAATTTTTATATTTTTAGTGTAGAAACACAGGAATAACTACCACATCCTCCCCCAACTTATTGACTGTCCCCAGTCAATTCTGATTTTGACTGTGTTTTGAAGCTGTTTTTTTTTTTTGAAGAAATTTTGAGGTTGTGACAGGGCTTTAATTGGTGTTTCTTCCTGAATTCTCTTGCGGCTAGATCCTGGCTTCTGGTTGTTTGCTATATTGGTGATGAGTTGAGTTGGGTGTTTGAGAATGGTGATGATTTTGAGCCAGGTGATGGATTTGAGTCCCATGTTTGAGATTGATGATGAGTTGATCTGATGGTTGAGAATGGTGATGAGTTTATGATAGTTGATTGAGATAGGTGATGTTTTTGAGTCAGGTGATTGAGATTTGTGATGAGTTGATGATAGGAATGTTGGTTAAGGTTGAGTTGTTTTTGTGGAAGAGCAGGCCAATCAGAAGAGGCTGAAAATTTGGTACGTTGCCAAGTCCTGATTTGATGGAGGAAGAAGTTGTTGATCCAATCCAAAAGAGATATATCCAATTTTGTGAGGGTTTAACACATTTGACTGATTGTTTGTGTCCGTTGCCGTCCTAAAGCTAAAATTGGTCCAAGAATCTAGAAGAAGAATCAAATCCAAATAAGAGTTTGAGCTGATAAAAGAACTTTAAGAATTCAATCATGAAGTTTGAGATAATAAAAGTAAACCAAAATAGAAATCCAATCCAGATAAGAGTTTGAGATAATAGAGAAACTAAGAGAGAAATCCAATCCAGATAAGAGTTTTAGATAATAGAGAAACTAAGAGAGAAATCCAATCCAGATAAGAGTTTTAGATATTAGAGAAACTAAAAGAGAAATCCAATCCAGATAAGAGTTGAGATAA